TGTAAGGCCAACAAATGAGTAAGCATCTCCCATTATTTTCTCTCACAAAGGTAACCTGGAATAAAAGTATGGTTTCCTTCACTCAACCCAGCTGGAAAGGTGGAGACTCTCTATTACAAGGGATGTCATCCTCCTCATTATCTGAGCTTTAAATATCAATTGCATTGATGCAACTGGAATAGTAGTTCTCAAAGTGTATTTCAAGTTCCCAGCATCACCTGGGAGCTAGTTAGAAATGGTCATTCTTGGGCCTACCCAAGACTGGGGAGTGGGGCCCAACAATTTGTGTTTTAACAAGCTCTCTGTTGAACATTAAAGTTTGAAAACCACTGAACTCGAGAGAACTCAACTTAAGAGTCTAGATTCCTGGGGCTCCACCCTAGATGTATTGAATGGAAACCTCTGGTTTGCATTTAACAAGCTCCCAGATGACCATTAGATTCATCTATATTTCAAAGTCACGACTTCCGAGTTGGCTCCTTTTCTTTCATCCCACCACCCCATCCAGCCTGTAGGGCTTTGCCAAGTTCTATACATTTTACATTGCAAAAAACTTCCAAACCTAATGCTAATGATCATAAAAACCTAAGATTAAAAAGCAAAAAACAAAAAACAAAAAACACAGACTCCCAGGCCCTGCTCCAGAATTATACACAAAGAGATATTAAATAAATGTATTACATCTCATATAGCATATATCATATGATATATGATATGTATGATACACATGATATCTATCTGGGAGCATAGTGAGGAATTCACCTTTATATTCCTGAATCTGACGTAGGTACTCAAAGAGTAGACCTTTGGGTCTCACCATTAGAATTGACCCCCTTATTCTATTTTAATGTAGACCTCATAAAGTCCTCATTATTAAAACAATCACAGATGATTTCCAGATTAAAGTACTGCAATTCTGATAATTTTTCTCTCCCACTCAAAATTTTTGACATTTTTACACACAAATTACTTGGCTTCACATTCAACACCCTCTGCTAATCTTCTTACTAATTCATATCTCCGTTAACTCACCTTATTCTCCAGCCAAGCTATGTTCTTTTCTGTCTCTACACATTGTACTTTGTGCCCCTCTACTTTGCCCAAGCAGATCCCATCCACTGGAGTGTCGCCTCCCTCAATATCAATAACAAAATCAAATTCATATTAGTATTATATCCTCCAATTAGCCTGTTCTAGATGTCCATTAGGTATTAACTAATATTTATTGAATAATTTGTAGAAGCCAGTCACTCTGCTATGTCTTCACATGCATTAACTAATTTAATTTTTGTAACTATTTTATTAGGTAACTACAACTATTTCCTTCACTGTTCGAAAAATGAAATTCAGGGTAAAAGAGATTGAAATGATTTTCCCAAGAATACTCAGTAGCATATAGAAAAGCTGGGATTCTGATTTCATATCCTGAGCTCTGAAATACTAGATTTACTGAGTCACAAAGGAAGTCTTTCCACCCTGTTAAATTGCTATAAAATTGTGTTGGAAATGATTATGTGGTATTCTATACAATAGATGTATTCGCTGTTGATTAATTGGTATAAAAGAAGGATAAGGTGGTAACAGATCACTCCCAAACATGATTGCAAGAGAACTAAGCCCAATGCTTTTTTGGGGGGGTGGGGGGTGGTTAACAGTGATTGAAACACCACCACCACCACCACACAGAAATTACCTTCATGATGACCACCTAACTCTATCAGAAGAGACACTAAGCCTTTGGACTGAAACATAGCTAGTAGGGGTTGAATGAACTAGGCTCTGGGTTTTCCACTGTTTTCAAATCACATAAAGATCTTGTCTACATTAATACCAGGTATCAGCATTTAGGGATAAGAAATCTTTTTTTTTTAAGATTTTTTTTAATTTATTTATTCATGAGAGACAGAGAGAGAGAGAGGCAGAGGGAGAAGCAGGCTCCCCGCCGAGCAGGGAGCCTGATGCAGGACTCGATCCCAGGACCCTGGGATCATGACCTGAGCCGAAGGCAGACGCTTAACCATCTGAGCCACCCAGGTGCCCGGGATAAGAAATCTTACTACATCACTCCCTGTTGGGCCCTACCCAAGGTTACTGTCATTGAGAGGGGACTGTATTTGTGTATGTCATAGTCATTCTACTACAGAGGGGGATCTCACTGCATATATCAAAAAGATTTGCAAAGAGCTTATTTTTGAATATAATTGACAAGCTATATTTAGAATGTCACATACCCATGTCAGTGGTTGAAGTGGTACAATTGCATGTCAGATTTTAAAGGAAGGAGGATATTGTGTGTGTTTGTGAGCATTTTGTGAGATGTGCTGTATTCCGCCCCCCCCTTTTTGTTTTTTTGCCTCTATGGCCCTGAAATCAGAAACTGTGGATATGAGTATACTGATGTGTTTGGGAAATAACTATAAATTAATCAGGCCACTCAGTAAAATGTTTTATTGGACTACAAAATTACTCAAAGTTCCACATATATTTATTGGTCACTCCCTCACCCTTCTAATTTCCCTTTTCTCCTTTTATTTATAAGATCAAGCAGTCTGATGTTCTTTATTTTTCCCAAAACATTATGATCACTAGGGCGAAACCTGAAGAAGAGGGAACATTGCCTTATAGAGAGAAGAGAGAAATTGCTAATACTGTCATGAGAAACTTTGGCATCACACATGGGTAAGTATAGAGACCTTCCACCATGACTAGCAGATGACACCTGTTCTGCATCATCTGATATCAGATTCATTGTCCTTGGTTTTGAGGTAATGCATGTAGTCAAAATATTTAGAGTTTGTCTACAAATACATACTGTGATACAATTTAATAACTGCAGCACAATAAAAGAGATTGTGTTTACTTAAAAACTCTAATCTTTCCTGTTAACATTCACTTTCTGGGTAGTATCTAACGAAATAATCTTTGTTTTCAAGTTTTGAATATTCCTATTTTCTAGAGAGTATAGATTCTGTCAGTTTGTTTAGTTTATTTGAAACATCTTCATCTGGTATCAGGGAAATTGTAATTTAACTGGGGTGGGAAGTGGAGGGGAATTGACCAGGCATTGATAATTTTGAAATTCATTTCTCTCTGTTCTTTGAACTTTTACATAAATAAAATAACAAGCATGGAGAGAAACACTTGCTACTTTTTCGTTGGAATTGGAAATGGGACTAGGTAAAGGCACCCAGTTCTAAGTCCACAGTCTGCCTTCCACTGTAGAAATAGCACAAGGAATAAACTTGTGCTCAATAAGCTCAACAGGGGAATGTCACTCAGACATAGTGACTAATGTAGCATCCAGCCTGCTCACCTTAAGAAGAAGAAATCATATGTGAGCCTTAATGTTAGGGCATCAGTAACAACTTTATTCTGTAGCTGATTAATTTAGATACAATTCTTTATACATCCCCCAAAATATGGTCAGTGTTAATTTTTGTAGGCTAAGATTTGTTACAGGTTTAAAAAAATAGTTACATCATCAACACCAGCTTTTTCATATTTGTCTTCCTAAATGAACTCTGACACTGAGCAATTTTACTATTACCCCTGTGGAAATCCTATTCTTCCATCTCTCCCAAATGCCTATCTTTGGGTTCCCCTTTACATAAAACTAAAGGAGTTGTCAAATGCCTTTCAGAAAAACAAAATAAAAAGAATTGACACAGTATACATAATTGTCATGGGTCAAGTCTAATGTACATACTAACTTATCTGAATCACCTCATTTCCTGCCTATCTTTTGAAAACTTTGTTTTTCCTTTAAAATTATTCTTCCCCATTACACAATATTTTAGGGTGCTTACAATCCACTGGACTCATAACTTGCCATGTCCTTCCTTAACATCATCACATTTTCTCCTTTCTCTTTTTTTAGCCAATGTACTAGTCCAGATTACTAACATATGTTCAAGGACTGTCTGGATTTCCAAAGTTATAAACTACAAATATACAAGTTTGAGGAATTCAAATAACTGGCAAACTCTACCCTCAACTATATCTACCAAAATGAAAAAAAAAAAAACACCAAACTCTCCCTTAAGCCTCTAAAAACATTTTCATAGAACACAGAGTTAGAGATACCCTGCCACCTCTTTTTACCTATGTAAATTTTACCTATGTAAAGACCCAAACTCTCCTCATCTCATCTTTATCTGATTTTTGTTTCCAGAAAAACAATTTGCTGTATGTCAGTTCATCTTTCTAACCTGATGTATGATGCACAGAATAAGGTATGCCTAAATGGGACAAATAACAAAACCAGTAAAGATTTTTGGAATCAATGTAAATTTTGTATCGCAAACGCAATTTGGAAAATACTAGTAATAAAAATTATAAATCTCTTCAGTATTATCAATAACTTATTGCAAGTCTCCCTTGGGGCAATAATGAAGATGGGAATTCAAGAAAATCCTAAAGTTACCATACATAGTGCTTCAGATATGGAAATGGGGTAAGATTGGCTAGTAATCCACAGATGGGGAGGGAAAAGATCACGGAAAAAGGATAGGGTCACAGTAGTGGTAGAACAATAAAGAACAATACATATGCACTGCTTCTGGCTTTTCGACCAAGTTCCATGTTTTCTGAGGTCCTTGATTTAAATGTTCCTTCCTTAAAAGTTCCCAGGAATGCTTCTGCCTTAGGACCTTGACTGTTCTATCTGCCCCAAAATCACCCCCCACATGACTGATAGGCCTACTCCCTCAACTCTTTCAAGCCTTTGCTCAAATGTCACCTTTTCAGTGAGGCGTACTCTGAACAGTCTGCTTAAAAATTGACAACTTCCCAGGTCCTTTGCCCCCTTCAGTTTACTCCACGTAAATTGCCCGTGTCCGCTTCCACGAACCTCACCTTCCGCCCCGTCTGGACAACCCTGCCTGGCGCTTCTCCTTTAAATGTTGTCGGGAAGGGGCGGAGCTAGGGCCCAGCTTCACAGAAAGGAGGAGCGTATCCGTAGGCTCCGCCCACTTGCCTGTTGGGCGCCGGCGGGACGGACCCACGGGATGTTCTCCTCTTAGTCCGCTCCGGAAACGCGACCGCGGACGGAAATATCACGTGATCTTAACGTCAACGCGCCCGCGCCGGCCGAACGGACGCCCTCGGTTTCCGCGGGCTGGCGTTTGTGCTTTAGGTACTTTTTTCCCCCCCCACGGTGTTGTGGCGTTTGCGGTCTTTTTCTCCAGACTGTCGGGGCCTGCTTTGGGATTTCGCGATGTACCACAACAGTAGCCAGAAGCGGCACTGGACTTTCGCCAGTGAGGAGCAGCTGGCACGACTGCGGGCCGACGCCAACCGCAAGTTCAAATGCAAAGCGGTGGCCAACGGGAAGGTGAGCCTCGCGGCCGATTCCCTGTCCCGGCCTCTAAACTCTTGAGCAGCTGCTGCCTGTCCCCCTTGTCTGTCCTGCCTTCCCTGGAGCTTCCGCACACCTTCATCTCCGCTGCCCGTGCCTCTGCGGAGCGCCGGGCGTTTTATTTAATCAACAGGCGAGTACTTTGCCAGGTGTAGTGGGTACGGAGACCGACAACGCCGTTAACGTAGTCGAATGGCAGAGGAGTAATCAGCAACATGGCGAAGAAAAGACTTTGTAGGATGCTACCGTAGTGCGGGACCAGAGCTTTTTGTTAGTCAAGAGGATATGGGATATGTCGGGGAAGGCTTTTCCCAGTAGTTGATTGAGAGACGATGGGGAAAGGACGTTCCAGGCCGACAGAACCACAGGTGCAAAGAGGTCAGAAGTTTTAGGGTTGCAGGGCGGCTCCGTGGAATGCTCCGGATCGTGTGACAGAAGCTCAATACAGGTGCTTGAAAGGCTGGAGAAGGTATAGGCCAGGAACTTGTAAGCGGGAAGTAAGGAGTTTGAGCTTATAATGAGGAGATGGGGAACCTCTGAAAGATTTTAAAAGGGGAATTAGCCTTTCAGCTTCTGTTTTAGAAAGAGACCTCAGAAAACCTGGTGGTGAATGGATCGGAGGGGCAGGGTAGAGGCAGGGAATCAGGAGACCGTCAGTACAAACCAAATGACTGAAGATGGTTTAGACTTTGATCCTGCCAGCCAAGTCCTTTCTGTTATAGCTCCCACCGGTTTACTCTTCTTTCCCAAGTTCCACCACCCATTCTAGTACAAGCTTTCCTCTAGCAAGTATTGCATGTTTCAGACCTACCGGTACTGAGCTACTTTACTTTCTACGTTTAACTCACGTCTGTTTCATACTGCCTAATTTTTGTGCCGTACAAAGTAGTACGGATTGTGCTGGGTACCAGGCGCTGTTCTGAGCATTTAGTAAGTGGTAGCCCATTTAATCCTCACAACTATCCCATGAGGTAGATGCTGTTATTATCCTTGCTTTACAGCTGAGGAAACTGAGATATAGAGAGGTTGAATAACTTCAGGACTGCATTGCTGGTAAGTGGCAGAGCCAGGATTTTGAACTCATTGCTGTTCTAAATCATAATGCTGTGCTGTCTCTGTAAAATTAGTTTGTATTAGTTTCCTTGGGCTAACATAAAAAAAATTAGCACAAGCTGGGTGGTTTAAAACAACAGAAATTTACTGTTTCACAATTCTGGAGGCCGGAAGTCTGGGATAAAGTTGTTGTCAGAGTATGCTCTCTGCAGTTTTTAGGAGAGAATCTTTTCCTCTTACAGCTTCTGGTGACCCCAGGTGTTCCTTTGCTTCTGCCTCCATCTTTACATAGTGTTCTCTCTCTGTTTGTATCTGTTCTTGTTATAAGGATACCAGTCATATTGGATTAGGAACCCACTGTACTCCAGTACGACCTTATCTTAACTAATTATATTTGTAGAGACTCTATTTCCAGATAAGGTCACATTCTGAGGTACTGGGGGGTTAGGATTTCAGCATACCTTTTTTTGGTAGTCATAATTAATCCAGTAACACTGCTTAGTAGATATCTGTTGTAAAACTGTTGTATTATTAACCATCTAGTGTATTCTGTGGAGTTTATAAAGACAAATAGGAGGGAATATTTTAAGGGTCATAATCATCCTTAAGACACTTGTGATTTTTTACCTCAACCTGTGTGACTTAATGACTGAGAAAGGGATGCTGGAAGCTTTCCAATGACAGTGTGTATCTTCTTTTTGATTTATAATTGACATCAAACTTGTGAGCATATGCACACCCTCTGTCATGATTCTTTTTACCCTAATGAAGCACATGTCCAGCTGACATTCTGAGAAATTGTGAAATGATGGTATAGTTTTTGTTTATCAAATATTTCACTAAAACTATTTTGTGTAATAGCTCTCTAAAGAGAAAAATGACGTATGGTATATTTCCCTTTGGTTGGAGATACAAACTAAACTTAATCTGGACAGAGAAAAGTATTTTAAGATTATTCATGTCATTGAACTTTTGTTGTAACTTTTGATCTAAAGGTTCTTCCAAATGATCCAGTCTTTCTTGAGCCTCATGAAGAAATGATGCTTTGCAAATACTATGAGAAGAGATTATTAGAATTCTGTTCGGTGTTTAAGCCAGCAATGCCAAGGTCTGTTGTGGTAAGTTATGATAGTGATAAAGTCCTTTAGCTGACTTCTGAAATCAGAACTCTTCTAAACGTGTAACTCAGTTCTCTGTCCACTTTAGGGAAATTTATGTATTCAAGTTTTTGTCAAGTTTTGTATTTTTTGATAAATTCCTTAACTTAGGAATTCCTATTACCATTTCTTTTGGTATTTCATTTCTTTTCATTCTCATTTCATTGTCAAAAGAATTTTGAGATCTGCTAGACAGGTCGTGACATCCTCATTTCATAGAGAAAGAAGAGATTACTTTCTCTCTGGGTTCTCAACTAATGAGCAATAGAACCGGGAGGAGAACATATACCACTGCCTTGTCAAGTCTGACAGACACATTTGAAATAAGTCATTCATTCATCATTTGTAATCAGCCGCCCCAGCTAAAACTCCTGCCATAGGAAGCTTTTAAACCTTGATTAGGAGAAAGCTGGAGATTTATCTTTGGGTAAAAAATTGTCTTGTGGTTGTTTCAGATGTATGGTTCTGAGGACTTCATTTCTGTGGGTGTGTTTACTGTGGTGTGGCAATGGTGAGGACAAACAGGTAGTTTGAATTTTGTGGCTGTAAGGACTTACATGCACTATCCTTGAAATTGTTGCTTTAGTATGTATTCTTGTTTGTTGAACATAAACAGGTTGAAAAGCCGAAAGATAAAAGAGGATTATAAAACATTTTTTCATAATTATCTCACAGGTTTGCTGTGAAGATTAAATATGAAAGTCTGTCTTGGGGCGCCTGGGTGGCTCAGTCGTTAAGCGTCTGCCTTCCGCTCAGGTCATGGTCCCAGGGTCCTGGGATCGAGCCCTGCATCGGGCTCCCTGCTCCACGGGAAGCCTGCTTCTCCCTCTCCCACTCCCCCTGCTTGTGTTCCCTCCTTTGCTCTGTCTCTCTCTGTCAAATAAATAAAAATAAAATCTTTAAAAACAAAACAAAAAGTCTTTAAGTTAAAGTCTGTCTTAACTTTTAAAGTTATGCAGAGTGAATAACTTATGACACAATAGAGAATAACTCCTAGGAAAAAATCTCCATTTTTAAAGTTGAAAAAAATTGAAGTATATTGAAAATACCAAGTTCAAAAAAATACTCAGCGGGGTTTTTTTTGTTTGTTTGTTTACCTGACCTTCATCTGAAAAATGAAAGATTTAGGAAGAATTTTAGATGGACTTAATTAGTTTCTGTCTGCAGATTTGGTTCTGTGCTTTTCTGATAAAAGAACTATAATATAGTTTTTTTCAGATGAAGAAACTGAATTCTTGCATAAACTTCTTTGTGGAATTTGTCTTATTTATAACTGATGAACTGTTTTTGTTGTTTTGTTTCACATAAAATGACAAAGCTAAACTTTTTAAAAATATTTAAAAGGAAACTTCTTTCTCTTGTAAAATAGATAAACGTCTATTTCATTGGTTCTAGCCAAATGACGTGGTGGTTAAAAGTACAGGCAGGTCTTAGTTGAATCCAGCCCTGTTCCTTCTTTTATGTGTGACCCCAAATAAGACAGTTAACGTCACTGATAGTTTCCTTCTCTGTAAAGTGGTGATAGCAGTACCTCATGAAGCTGTTGTAAGGTTTAAAAAAAGATGATAGCTTGGTGCTTGGCACAGAGTCTGGCTCATGGGATACAGTCAGGTCTACTCTTTAGTTTGGCAACATGATCATGGTTCTATCACACAGATTCAAAGTGGATTTAGAGAGAAGGCTATTGCCTGTTAATTCTGTCAGTGTTTTCACAAGATTGGTTAAGCTGTGAATATTTGTATGTTTCTCCTTGATTTTTTCTAATCTAGTTGGTGTTTGTTACTCTGAAGTCTAAAATAAACACACATAAACTTTAAAATTAAGTCAGTGACCATAGGAAGGGTAACGAGGGTGGGTGAGGAAGGACAACAAAGGGTCTTTTGGCTGTGGCATTTCCATAGTAATTCATCATAATTTATTTGATTAAAGAAGAATTAAGAAGTTTTGGTATTTTGTATGGGTAACTTTTTAAAAAGAAACCTTTGCATAAGTAAGTTTAAAAAAATATTTTTAACAAAGTTTAATGTGTGTGAATAGATTCTGATAATGTATTTTTAATCTTAGGGTACAGCTTGTATGTATTTCAAGCGTTTTTATCTTAATAACTCAGTAATGGAATATCACCCCCGGATAATAATGTGAGTATAATTCTAATTTATTGATTTTCATTTAAGAAAACCTTTGTGTGGACAAAATGACTTCCTAATAAAGGGTAATCTAGAGTTGCGTCCTCTTATGAACTTATACTGTCCTTATACTCCTTATAGATCTGGTCCCTCCCTTTCATACTGATGGCATCTGAACTTCCAACTTACCCATACTCAAATCCTGTTTTTCTCGAACTAACTTCCCTAATATCTCTTTCTGTTAGTGGCACATTTCTTCTCTCTGTTGCTCCAAGAATCATTTGTGGTACCTCCTCTCCTTCTGTTCAGTCGGTTTACAAGTCTAGTAGCTCCAGATTCATTTCAAATGAACAAAGGTCCATTAAAAATAAAGATGAAGCTAGTATGAGACTCATTAAAGAGCCTGCTGTCAGTCACATTGTCCCTGTTTATTTTCTCTTTCATTTTCTTTTCTACCAGTCTAGGTCAGGCCTTGTTACTTCCAATCTTGATTTTTGTGGTAACTTTATTTCTAGATTCTCACTCTGAAATTTATGGTAGTAGGCATGAGAGTTTCATAGGTTACTGAGGTAATAATCTCTGTCAAAATGCCTTCAGAGACTTCACTGATGGCCTTCCACAGTGTTCTTTAACCTACCTTTCTTCCCCTGCTTCCCATCCTTTCTTCCCAGGTATATCTGTGTATACGGTTGAGTTCTTCCATCTACATTTCATGACTCTCAAAAGTACTCTTATTCTTCAGTTATTTTTCTAGATACTTATGTTGAACTATATGAAACTACCATTAAGTCAATAATGGTTGAATGCTGTGGCAAGATTATACAGTTCAGGGGCGCCTGGGTGGCTCAGTCGTTAAGTGCCTGCCTTCGGCTCAGGTCATGATCCCAGGGTCCTGGGATCGAGCCCCGCATCAGGCTCCCTGCTCCACGGGAAGCCTGCTTCTCCCTCTCCCACTCCCCCTGCTTGTGTTCCCTCTCTCGCTGTGTCTCTTTCTTGTCAAATAAATAAGTAAAATCTTTAAAAAAAAAAAAAAAAGATTATACAGTTCATCCTAATTATAGTTTCCTAAGGGATAAAAAGTTTGAACAGAAAACTTTTTTTTTAATAAATTTCCTGCAAAGTCTAGCATAGTCACTTATAATATTAGGCATTTTTAGAACTTACTTTTAGCAATAAAATATTCAGATATTTCTTAAAGTATGTACAGATCCCATTCCTGTCCCTTATTTTTGCCTCTAGGCTCACTTGCGCATTTTTGGCCTGCAAAGTAGATGAATTCAATGTATCTAGTCCACAGTTCGTTGGAAATCTGCGGGAGAGTCCTCTTGGACAAGAAAAGGCACTTGAACAGATTTTGGAATATGAACTACTTCTTATTCAGCAACTTAATTTCCACCTTATTGTCCACAATCCTTATAGACCGTTTGAGGGCTTTCTCATTGATTTAAAGGTAATCTTTTTGATATAAAAAATAAACTAGTAGGATGTACACCTTTGCTATAGTTCTTTAACCAGAAAAAAATCAACATTTTATTATAACTTGTAATCATTCTAATTGTTACAACATAAGCTCATCTAAAACCTGAGTTTAGTTGGACCTCTAGTGCTATAGTTCTCAAACTTCAGTGCCACTTGGAACGTTTGTTAACTCAGGTTGTTGGGCTGCAGTTCCAGAGCTTCTCGTTTAGTAGATGTGCAAATCCTTGTCCAAGAACTGTAATGAGGACCACTGTCAGTTTAGAGTAATGCTTTTGGAAATTTAAGTTAACTCTTCTAACTCTGAAGTTAGTATACTGTCATGGATTTGATTTAAAGAACCACATAAATTCTTGTTTTTAACTAGAAGATTGCTAAGTGATTTCTATTTTTCAGTGCATTGTGAACCTGAATCGATATGTAGGCATCAAAAATACAAGGAAATAAGCATTGACAAAAGCAACTTAAGTTGTTTTGTTTGGGCCCTGAAAGGGGACTTGGATAGTGTGAGTGAAGTCAAAATGGAAGTCAAAAACTGGTTCATTTGTCTCGGTTGAGTGGCAAAATTTGGGTACGTACCCTATACCAAAACATTGTGCTTGGATTAAGACGAGAACAGCCTCAACTCTCATAGGTCTTACAGTCTAATGGGAAAGGTAATCATATATCCAGTGTGCTAAGTGTTACAGAAGGAAAGATATTAGAATACTTTAGAACAGGATGGCAGATTGAGAGGAAGTGAAGACAGTTGTGAGAAAGGGTCACTTAGAGTGAAATTCAGAGCAAGAGTAGGAATTAGGTAGTAGAAGAGCATTCCAATCAGAGCGACTTCTTTGGTCAGAGGTCCAAATTCAAGAAACCATGGTGCACTAAAGAACCTAAATAGAGCTTAGAGATAGAGGGGGAGGACTGCCACGGAGTGCTGCCGGAGTGGAAGGTAGAGTCTAGACTGTGGAGGTGATATTAAGGATTTTGAATAGAGCAGTGGGAAACCAGCGGAAGGCTTAAGTCTGGGCAGTGGCATAGTTTGGTTTACAGTTTAAAAAAAAAAAATCCTGTTGGCAAACTCTTGCATCAGTCTGTGTCGGCTGTTTATTGCGCATACGTGTGTCAGGCATAATATGGAGAATAGATTAGAATGGATGAAAGGATACCAGTAAGATGCTGTTAAGAGTAGTCCAAGCAAAAGAGGGTGGTTGGTTTGACTTAACAGTGGCTGTGAGTACAGAGAGAACTTCCTGGACTTATGAGATACTAGTCAGAATCACTAGAGCTTGAGGATTGATTTCATATAGAGATGGAGAACAGAGGAGGAACCCCCAGGTTTCTGGCCTAAGCATATAGGTAATGGTGGTTCACTCGCTGATAGAGGAAACACTGGCATAGCACAGATTCGTTGATGGTGGACGGGTGGGGGTTGTTGAATCTGCTTTGGGACATAATGAATTTCCAATTCCTGCAAGACATCAGGTGTGTGTGGAGGTGCATGAAGATGGCGAAGCTATAGGTATAGATTTGATTATTGTTGCTCCTGGAAAATTTAAGGTGTATTGGCCGAAAGGACCATTTAAAGGGTAGTTAGAGAAGGGCGCCTGGGTGGCTCGGTCAGTTAAGTGTCCACCTCTTGGTTTCGGATCAGGTCATGATCTCAGGGTCGTGAGATTGAGCTGCACGTTGCTCTGCAAGAATGGAGTCTGCTCGAGATTATCTCCCTCTCCCTCCACCTCTGCCCTGCCCCTGCTCTCAGGCTCACTCACTCTAAACAAATTATTTTCAATAAATAAATAAAGGGTAGTTAGAGAAATATAAGAAGCTATTAAAGAGACTGAAGAATATCCAGAGAGATAGGACTTTCTGGAGAAGTGAAGTAGAATACTTTTAGAAGATGAGCGCAGGTCACTCTCTAATGTTGTTCAGAATTCAGGCAAAGTAAAAGCAAAAGGATAATGTTTGCTGGATTTAGTGCCAGAAGGGTCATTTGTGATTTTTGTGAAATTAGTCTCCATTGAGTGTGGAGGAAGAAAGTGGATTGGAGCCAGTTGGGGAATACAGGTGAGAAGGTGAGAAAAGAAGTATTTGTAACCTGGATTAAACAGTTTGATTTTGAAGTGGAAAAAGATGATTGAGAAGATGGGGGATCTCCTAGAAATAGATGAGAGAGATGGTTTTTGTGTTTTGCTTTGTGGAAGAAACTGATGTGGAGCACTAGTAATGAGAGAAAGCTTAAAGGAGGAAGTGAAAAATAAGTAGCTCAAGTTTCTCTTTGGAGTAAGGTGGAAGGGACTGGCATGGGATTCAAAGCGAAGTAGAAGAATTGGCCTTGAGAGAATAAATAGCTCTTTGAACAGAGGGAAAGAGGAAAGCATGGGTTGAGGACAGTATTATGCCTAGGGATTGGTGCTGACGGGAAATGGAGTGTCTTTCTTTGTTAAAGGCAGGGATCATTTACAAAGAGTGATGGAGTTGCTGAAAATTATCAGAGACATTGAGACAGGTGGAAAATGTTGAACATAGTCACTAAAAAATGGGAGAACAAATTTTCTATGGAATATTATCATAGCTAGGCATTGTTGAGAGCCCTCCTGAGGTCAGTGAACTTGAATTTATAGTAATAGTACCAGACCTCTTGGTGGTATTGTTTTCTGTTGCAGCACCCAGAAATGTGGATATAGTTACAAAGCAGAAGATGGCTTGATTTCAGCCACTGTTAAAAGTTTTGTCTGAAATATGTTGTCAGCATATGGGCGCCGGGAATTCTGGAGGGAAATGAGGATCAGTGGACATAGGTGAGTAGGAGCAAGTAGAGGGATAAGGGGAGAAGGGACCAAAGGTTCTGAGGAGGAAGTCAGGGAGTAGCTGTGAAGTAATTGAGCAAATATACTGGGGGAAAGGAGTACCTTGGGCAGAGTGGAATGTCTGAATTTGTCATATCAGAGGTCAGGTATTTCAGGATAATAAGACATGGGTGTGACTGTACAATTGACTCAGAGTATTTTGTTTAGAGTATAGAAGAGATTTCTTAGTGCCTTGGGACTTGAATGTGGATATCTGAAATAGATCTGAGGGTTTAGGATCTAGAGTTTAGTATAAGAAGAATTTTCAGGGAATATGGGCTCATCCATATTTCTTGGGCATATTCTAAAAATAATTCTGTAATCAAGCCAAGATCCATTTCCATTTACTTCTTCCCAAAAGTAAACTTTAAGTAGCAGGAATTTCAAATCTAGAGGAGGTGGTGCTTAATCAACAGAGACACCCAGGCACCCCTGGGGTGTTATTTTTTTTTTTTTTTAAAGATTTTATTTATTTGAGAGGGAGAGAATGAGAGAGAGCACGAGAGAGGGAAGAGGGTCAGAGAGAGAAGCAGACTCCCTGCCGAGCAGGGAGCCTTATGCGGGACTCAATTCCGGGACTCCAGGATCTATGACCTGAGCCGAAGGCAGTCGCTTAACCAACTGAGCCACCCAGACGCCCCCTGGGGTGTTATTTTTAAGAATCCTGTGTTAAGCATTTTCTTGTTAATATAAATATTTTTAAACTATTATTACTGCATTAACTCTCAGAAGTGATAACATTTGCAAACTTTCTTTCTAGACTCGCTATCCCATGATGGAGAATCCAGAGATGTTGAGGAAAACAGCTGATGACTTTCTTAATAGAATTGCATTGACGGATGCTTACCTTTTATACACACCTTCCCAAATTGCCCTGACTGCCATTTTGTCGAGTGCATCTCGAGCAGGAATTACTATGGAAAGGTATTAATCTGTGTTTTAACTTTGATCAGACTCAGATTCAGTTTATCCCTTCCTGGAGACTGAGTTTTTTGGTTTTTTGTTTTATTATGTTATGTTAATCACCATACATTACATCATTAGTTTTTGATGTAGTGTTCCATGATTCATTGTTTGTGCATAACACCCAGTGCTCCACGCAGAACGTGCCCTCCTTAATACCCATCACCAGGCTAACCCGTCCTCCCACCCCCCCTCCACTCTAGAACCCTCAGTTTGTTTTTCAGAGTCCATCATCTCTCATGGTTCCTCTCCCCCTCCGATTTCCCCCCCTTCATTCTTCCACTCCTGCTATCTTTTTTTTTTTTTTAAACATATAATGTATTATTTGTTTCAGAGGTAAGATCTGTGATTCAACAGAGACCGAGTTTTTAAGTGAGATTCACTTTGTGACTATAGTCCTTCATACGTACTGTGGTTGGGAGGGGGTTGGTGAGGGCGACTGAGAGAAGAAATGAAATGACCTTTAATATTTTTTTAAGATTTTATTTATTTGAGAAAGAGAGCGAGAGTGCAGGAGTAGGGGGAAAGGGGCAGAGGGAGAGGGAGAAGCAGACTGCCTGCTGAGCAGGGAGCCCAATGCAGAGCTCGATCCCAGGACCCTGGGATCACGACCTGAGCCAACGCTTAACGGAGCCACCCAGGTGCCCCGTCTGCTTTTAAAGAAATCTTTAAAAATTGAGTGTCTTTGAGCTGAGAGGATCCATTTTATGACTAAAGTAGAAGTAAATCAGGTGATTCTCGAAAGACTGATAGAGTTGTCTGTAGAGAATGAATGTAGAAGTTTTGTGAACTGGTAAGCAACATGCACACAGCAAATATGTCTGCCTGGTTTATCATTCTGCTGTGAAGCAGGTGTGGCATGTGGAATTCAGTGAAGATCTACTGAATGAATAATGCTTTAGGGAATGTCCAAATGAATTGCATTCGAGCTGTAGACACCTATAGCTGATGCATAAATGCACAGTGAGAACCAGGCTTTGCGATAAGCCCTTTACCGGAATTAAGTTTACTTGATTCTTTGGTGCAATATCTTGTGCACAGATAAACATTATTTTCATACTGATTTGTAACTCAAGCACAGGCTAGTAGCAAATTAGATTTTGTAAATTTTTATAATAATTTCTCTATGACCTTTGAAGTTCTGCCTGATCTTATTCCTAGAGAAAGATGATAAAATTTTCTGAACTTAAAACTTTCTCCATGTTTGCAATTCCCTCATCCATAATTTCAAAATCCATGATAATGGTGGTTAGCAAACATGAACAGATGTGATTTAGTCTTTATTCAGCTTAATCGGAGTGTTTATATGTTCCCTTACAGAAATATGAATGTAACTGGTCACAAGCTACTTCCCCAGATATCACTGGACTGTTGCACATCTCCTGGTACTTTCCCTAGGTTCCTTTTCCAAAACATGAACAATTTATGAATTTCAAAACAAATGCAAGATTAGGGAATGTGGGCTTATGTTTAATTTATGATATGCCTCTTCTTCACAGACACAGCTCACCAAATGTACATAAATGTATACATTTAACCCCAAAGTGATCTATACCTCCATTTATTTCACTAAGCAAAACTTTATCACTTGCTGTCTCTGTACCGTACACTGTACTGTTAGAATGAACAAAGCTATCAATCCTTGTTCCAGTTAGGAAAGATAGCCAGCAGATTGTTGATATCTGTGGAGTTTAGGTGTGAAGGTTCCATTCTCTAAGAGAAGAAAGCCTCTTTTCCACAATTCAGATAGCCAGATGTTTGATTAATCTGTTGAAGCATCAGATCTGATGCAGCATATATGCAAATTCCCCAGTGGTGAGATTCTTCTTATGTAGATGGAAAGGGATGAAGTTTATGTTATCTTGGAAGTGTAGTTATAATTTCAGATCGCCGAAACTGAAATTGTGGTAACTTGGGCTCCTGGCAAATTAAATACACTTTTGAATTTCCAAGGGACTATAAAGAGTTGGGCTTCTTTTTTTTTTTCCTTTGAGGAAGTACTTGTAAATCATTTTTTTTTTTTTTTTGGTGTGTGTATGTGTGTGTGTGGTTTTTGTGTGTGTGTGTGTGTGTGTAAATCATTCTTCTGATTTACTTTGCAAACTTTGGGGACACATTGGAATTACCTTTACATTTATTGTTGGTTTCAGAAAGGGAAAGCTCTTGTGCTGTTATATTCTGGATGATGCTTTAGGTTAATACTCATAGGATGTTCTTTTGTTAGCTCTGAGTTGTCTTCTTTTTTGCTGGATTTCGAGATTTATTTTTCATCTCTTAGTTTGACTTCTTAAATATTCCTGCTTGCTTATGGATTTTTTTTTAATCAAAATATTAAAATTCTAATTCAGGATTGAGATTGAGTTGGTAACTTAAAGACTCGTAGAAGTAGAGTCTGGTCAGCTAACTCTTAGAACCAAATGTATCACTCTTGATGTTAGGAAGTGGAAAAGAAAGAAAGAATAAAAAAAGACAAGAGAAGATGCCAAAAGTGTGAAAGGTTTTAGGGAGAAAAAGGAAAGGAAAAGACTAATAGTTATTTTGAATTACTGATAACCAGAAATGGATAAATTGTTAAGGGAGTTGATTTTTGTATCTAAAACTAATTCCCATCATAGATGATGAAGTTGTAACACCAAACTTAGTTATCAAAATTTACGTAGTATCATTTAAATAATCTGGATAGTTTAAAAGATAGCAACAAAATTTCCTAAAAAATTGTCTGTTGTTAACTGTACTTCACCATTTATTCATTTTGCCATTTTTCAGAGAAATTAATAATTTTTTTGCACTTGTGTTTGAAAGATTACTTATGCCTTCACAGTTTGTTCACTTGGGCTTTTATCAATTATATATAAAGTTCAGAGTAGCCAAAATATTTAAGTATAGAAATTATTTTCATGCTGCTATCATTGGTTCTGAGAAAAACAGATAATTAGGCTTTATATCCATTTATGGAAAAGTAGTAACACTTTTGATTTGGATTCTATGCATGTACAATTTAATAGGTTTGCAGAGCATGAGGATATTCTTAACTGGTTTGAATACCTATTAGTCCCAAGAGGAGCGCCTATCGTTAACTTGATATTAAGGGGAGAGAGAATCCTTAACGAGTACCATGTTCCAGCTCTGCTACTTCCTAGCTTTATATGACTTTGGGCAAGTTACAAGATCATGACTTCTCTGTGCCTGTGACTCAGATTGCTCAAATTGTTCAATTGCTCAAATTGCTTAGATTGTAAAACAAAGTTAGATTCATAGTTTATTATGTTAAACACTTAACAGTAGTAATAATCAGAACTTTAAATGTTTTCATAACCATTTTTCCTCTGAAAGCATATATATTACAAAATTTAGGCAAATTAATTTGAACATTAAACATCTTTTAAACTAAGTTGTATTAAATCCTTAAGACTGTAATAGTTACAGATTATTTAACTTTGTGGAGTTCAAAGTATTGTTATTTGATACTTTTAAAGTAAATTAATTTTAAAATTGTCCTTGATGAAATGAATGTGGGGGAAACTAATTTATGCTGCCATATTTCTCAAAGAAGCTATATGTGTTCAGATTAAAACTTTTTTCCTTTCTTTACCAGTTATTTGTCAGAAAGTCTGATGCTGAAAGAGAACAGAACTTGCTTGTCACAGTTACTAGATATAATGAAAAGTAAGTAAAACAGGACACTATGTTCTTCTGTTACGAAGCTACTTTCTAAATATCATCTTGAAATTTAACTTGAGATATATAGATTGTTGTTTAGATTTACTTTCATTGACTTAGTGGATCATGGAGGCATGAAGGATACATTCATTGGTGGAGAACAAGTAGAGCGCTCATGAAAGGAAGTAGTTTGTACACATAGAGAACTTACGAGGAAAGCGAAAATCGGTTCAGAAAGAGTTAAGATTTAAAACAGTCCTTTTGAAGTGTACACAGATATATGACAGGCACAGGAAAAGATCTAAAGGGAACCAAATTAAAGATAATACTTAAATTTGGAGGGTTTTTTGTAATCAGCTATAATTAGTTAATACACGTTATTTGCTAGTCATGTTGATATTACAAAAGCCGCGGTTCTCCACCGGGTGTGATTTTTGCAATGTCTGGGACACTCTGGCTATTCGAACTTGGCGAGGGGTGAGGGGGGTGGTTGGCTACTACTGGCATCTAGTTGGTAGAAGTAAGAATGCTCCTAAACATATTATAATTCAGTGTAGCCCCTTGATAGGCTGAAAAACGGCTCCCCAAAGATACCATGTCCTAATCCCTGGAAACCGTGAATGTTACCTTAGAAAGTCTTTGCAGATGTGTTAAAGTTGAAGATCTTGAGATGGGGACCGTATCCTGGATATCCAGGTAGGGCATAAATGCATCACAGGAGTCTTTATTAAAGAAAGGCAGAGGGAGGTTTGACACAGAGAAGGCAATGTGATGACAGAGCACAGAGAAAGATTTGAAGATGCAAACCTTGAAAATTGGAGTGATATGGCCACAAGCCAAGGGATGCTGGCAGCCACCAGAGGCTGGAACGGGGAAGGAATGGATTTTCCCCTAGAGCTTCCAGAGGGAACAGGGGTCTGCTGACATTTTGATATTGGCCCAGTGAAACTGATTTATTTCGGGGCTTCAGAACTGTGAGAGGAGAATCCATTTCTGTTGTTTCAAGCCTTACTGAATTTAGAGTAATTTTTAATAGCTGACTCAGAAAAACAAATACAGCCCCTCACAACAAAGAATTTTTCAGCCCAAACTTTCAGCAGTGCCAATGTTGAGAAACGCTGTCTTAATGGTTGAGTTCAAGATTACTCACCTCTCTCCTTTCTTCATTCTTGCCTGTGTGTCACTGAAGGCTCATGGCTATTAAGCTTTAGGATTAAAAGTCAACTGTGTTTGTCCCCCAAACTTTTTGTGCCGCTTGTCCTTGTTAACTAAATAAGTAGTTGAAATACTGGGTAAACCAATACAGTAGATTAAAAATCATTATCTTGGATAAGGTTAGTAAATGAGGGTACTTTTTATATGTTTTATGTTTCAGAAGGTAAGATGCTTCAGGGCATGTAAATATCATTTCTTGATTCTCTGCTTGTGAAATGATTCTGAGGGCTTCCTTCAGTTGCGAGCGATGGATTTGTGATTTAGGAATCATAAAAGTGTAAGTCTTCAGTTCAACCACCAGAGGGCGCACTTCCAAAGCTAACTGTGATTTGGCCAGAGACAGTAGTTAGGATCATGGAATTTAGTAGGTAAAAGGAGCCTTCAAGATAACCCACTGTGCTCATTGTACAGCTAACAGTTTTTGACTGATTTCTTCTCAGTTCCTTTATCTTATTCCACTTGTTGTAATGTGAAGTAAGAAAAGCTCTTGACAAAACACTCAGAGCTTTAACAGTATTAAGGTACCTTATTCATCATTTTTTGGAACAAAGATATTAAGCCACAAGTATTAATTCAGTTGAAAACACTGCTTTGCACGCCAGCAAGCTCCACCTATTTGGCACACGTGGCTAGCTAATAATAAGGCCTGGATCTCTCACCATTCCCCTAAAAATTCTTGAGATTTATGTTCTTTGGTTTATTGTAGTTGAATAACATAAACAGACCAGGGTAGAGGACATGTTTGCAATTGTAAAGTCACTGACACAGTAGTTTACTTTTAGCCTAAAGAGAATATTGTTTTCTTGGTGATGCTTTATCGTATAGGTTCTGCATTTTGTTGAAGCAAAGAATCATTGACACATTTTTTACTAAGCATCTCCCTTTATTACATGTCATGTAATAATGGTTTCCTTTGTAAATAAGAAGCACAGTCTTTGGGCCACCATCTGTAGTATAGAATGTTACAAATACAGGTGGCAGAGAACAAAGGATGTTAAACCTGAAAAAGAGACCATGGTGGGATTTGGAAAAAATACTTACTAGATTGTAGAACATGCTTCTTTTTATGTTGTGTATGATATGGGCTAAGCAACAGACGGGTATAATTACTTGAGGTATGGTATTCATTGGGTTTTAATGCAGAACATTGCAAATCCTGGTAATAATCACATTTCAAGAGTTTTATTTATTGTTCCCATAATAAGATGGGGAAATACTCAGCTCCCTTATGGGAACAGGACTTTTTATTGTCTAGGATAACTAGGATAAGTCTTTTTTATCTCCACATAGGTATGAGAAACTTGGTAAAAAAATATGAGCCACCCAGATCTGAAGAAGTTGCTATTCTGAAACAGAAGTTGGAGAGATGTCACTCTGCTGAGCTTGCTCTTAACGTAATTACGTAAGTAGATGGGAGTGTTATTCAAGGATGGATAGAATTGTTACTGAGGCTAGCTCGTCCTTAAATCACTTAATTGGTAAATGTTTGCTTTTGTGGGGAAAAATGACTTTTACCCATTAAGCTGGATTGTTTGTAACTGAGTGGACATTTCTAACAGGATTAAATATGAGGTAACAGTTTGGCTTTCATTATATAGTTCTCCTCGTATGACTGATGTGTTCTTTGGCTTGCGGGCCCTGTCCCGTTACTCTTCATGGGACCTCTAGAGTCGTCTTAGGGAATCTCTTCTTGCCCTTTTAATGTTTGGGTTCTTTACAGGTCTGTTACCTTGTCTGAGAGAACAAATACACTGTTTCAGATTTACTTCTGTTAGCTAGAGCAGGGAAAGTTGGCCTGTTTTCTTTCAGGGATAAACTTTGAAGACAGAACAAGTAGGAAAATGTGTCGTTAGATATTTTCTTGGCAGCTATAAGGAACACCTATAAGGCCTCGTACTGCTTTGTAGGCTGAATGTGGAAATCACAGAATTTGGGTTATGCTTTGCAAATTGAAGGATCCACTCAAACCTTATCTTTTAGGAGTTTAAACAAGTTGGGGGCCTGGGCAGGTAATAAGAATGGGAAAACTGTTGTTTTCTTTTTTCTGTGGAATACATTCTGATTCAAAAGTTCTACCATATTTGTTAATATTTCGTGGGAGTTAGCACTGCCATCTTACAGTTAAGATGCAGCTGAGATGTTTCTGATCTCTCTAATTGGTGAGTATACTGCACTGCATAATGTCTGAGAAACAGAACAGTGTTGTTCCCTGGCCTTCAGATCCAGGTACACATGGCTCAAAGTCCAATTACACAGTCGCAGTAGGAGAGTATCCAAGGATTTATGAAACATGCAAAATGTGGGACTACTTTATTATATACTAGCTCTCGTTGCAAAGCATGGCTTAGCATAGAACTTAAAATTGGTAGATCTCACTCGTGGGTTTCAGTGGTAACTCACAGAAATGAGAGTGATACAGAGAAGTAAAGAAATGTTGACTTGAATAAGTCAAAGTATTGTAGCACTGATTATATTCTTTTCACATTGATTTTGAAATGTGCTTAGACCAAAGGTTGGCAAACTCTGGCCCACAGGCCAAATGTGAACTACTACTTTATTTTGTTTGTTTTGTTTTAGAAAGACTTGTGCTGGAAGAGAGACATACCAGTTAGTTTGCATACTCTGTGGCTCTTTTCACGCTGCAGCAGGAGTTGGGTAGTTGTGACACAAACGGACTGTATGGCCTATGAGGTGTAAAATATTTACTATTTGACCATATAAAGAAATTTATCAGCCTCTGGATCAGACCACTGAACTGGTAATCTACCCTTCTAGCTAGGTAACTGAATGGACCATAATCCAAAATTTCTAATTGCCAGAGTACCTCTTACTCCATCTAAGTTTCTATGTGCTTTTTGTACTATGTCAAGGAAATACTGCATCTCTGTGAGTACTTGGGAGGGGGCTTTTCAGACTGTCTAAAAAGGACTTTTTTTTTTTTTAATCCAGGATAAAATGCAACAAATAACAAATTACTAGAATGAAATAGACAAAATACAAGCTGAAATTTTATTAGATTTCAGTAGTCAGAAAATTAATCGATGGAATTGCTCTAAAATTTCCTAAACACAGTCTGTTTCTGTACTTTACCTTATTGCAAACTGAAAATGGTTCATGGCTGGTCTGTGGACCATGCTGACAGGCACTACTTTAAGACAAAATAATTTGTTTTCTCAGTCTTTAAAATCCCTTATCTTTCTTTTTCATTACACACTTAACTATATTGTCATTACTAAAGTCAGTACAGGTAAACCAAAGTTCTCTTTGACCAAAACCCAAATCCAGCTGTGACCTCAGAGGTAGTATCTAGTTGGTTTACAGTTGCCAGTCTTTTCTCTGCCTGTGTGTATGTGTGTATGAAGTAAGTCGTTTTTTCTCTTTCTTAATACTTTCATACATATTGTACAACTTTTATGGTATCAGTCTGTAACTCTTGCCAGTCTGGGTGAGAAAACAGTTATCACATTATTACTGTATTTTAATTTGTATTTCCCCTATTACTATGAGGCATGGATGGTTCCAGTTTAACAGGCATTTGTATTTCTTCTTCTGTATTGCCTGCTTACAATCTTTGTGCAGTTTTTGGTGTTACTTTCCTGATTTGTAGTTCTTTATATATTTTATATACTTGTTTTTTCCTATAAATCCTACATCTGTTTTCTTGTTTCTTTTACCTTATGGTATCCAGGAGATTTGTGTTCTGTTTAATGCTTTTACATTTGAATACCTTTTCTTACCCTAAAATTAATATTTATTTTGCTTTGTGTTCAGCAGTTAAAACATTTAAAATTATTTGTGAATTGTGAGGTACACATCTCATAATACTAACTTTTTTTCAAATAAAATCTGTTATCTACCCGTTTTTTTTAATAAAAATTCAGAATTTTCCTGTTAAACATTCATTGTAGATTAAATTCCTGTATATACGTCGTTGTTTTTTGCCTATCTGCCCTGATCATTGATGCAATTAATTCTTTCTAATACACACTTTAAATTACTTTAGCTTTTATATCATAGTGTTTTGATGAAAACTGGGACAAGGGCCCCATACTTTATTCTTTCAGATTCTTTTTGCTATTTTTGCAGTCTTGCACATCAGTTACACTTGACAGGTTCCATGAGAAATTTTATTAGGATTTTAGTTCGAATTGCATTGAACGTAAAGATTAATTTGAAAGATAATGTCTTCCTCTCCATAATTCATCTCTTTCCATCTACTGCACCTTATTTTATAGTTTCTGTTGCCAGTTTTAGATTACTTATTGATGGCTGCTCAATTACAGGAAGAAGAGGAAAGGCTATGAAGATGATGATTATGTCTCAAAGAAACCCAAACATGAAGAGGTATGCTCTCCAAAGGTAAATTTTAATTTATTCTTCTTGTAGAATGGTCTGACTATACTCTTAAGATTTTATTTTTCCAGAATGCAAGCATTACAGAAGTGTGGGGTTTGAAGCCTTCATTTTTGTTTTTTGCATCTTTCTTTTATGTATATTGTCTTGTTATTATGGGACTTTTCTCACTTCTTACCCTGTACTGAAGCGGTATAGTTAATTGATGAAGAATCCTTCCTACGGTTATAACATGCTAAATTTCTGCTCTGTTTTTGACTCTCCAAGGATTCTTCTCTTACCTTTTTCAAAAATATTGCACCTTACATGTCAGATATACAGTAAGGTCACAATTGTAACCTTTACTCCTGTCAATTGGTGTAGTCTTGTGAGACCAAGCCATATTACTGTTAAGATTGAACTATTACAGATTTTCCTGGTTTATTACCTTCCTGTAATCAGAGTAAAGGGAGAAAATTTTCCAGAAAGGTAAGGAGGTAAACAGTGCTGTTATGCTTCAGTATATTGTTATTCTTACTACGTTTTTTTTCCTTCTTAGGAAGAATGGACTGATGATGACCTGGTAGATTCTCTCTAACCATTTGAAATTGACTTTCCAATGCTAACTAACCAACAGAAGGATGAAGCAGGTCTGGCATTTAACTTTATTGAAAAATGAAATAATGTGAAGGCATCAAATATATTAAACTTGCTTAACTTTTCGATTTGTTATTTAAATTTTGTGGGTTTTTTTTCCCCCTTTCAGGATAGCTTTATGTGAATTAAAACCTCTGAAAGGAGCCAGAATAGCACCTGGTTTAGATAGTCTTGCCCCATCACGACTAGTATCAAATCAGTCTTTCTACAGTAGTCAAAGCTGTAATTAATTTGCCTATATTTTAAGCAGCAAACCTTTTTTTTTTTAGGAAAAAAGGCCACAATACAATAAAACCGAGTAATTAGTTTTAAACATGCTAGTTTTGCCCTCTAGAAACCTTTACAAATGCCTTCTCAAATGTCATTGTGATATACTTAGCTTTGTTGTATGTAACTTCTGAACTACAAAATGCACTTCAACTGTTAAGTGCTTCAAGTGAAACTGTGAAAGCTAGTTACCCAGGGTAATCATAATTAGTATTTGTCCTCAATTAGTTGCCTGAAAACATTACCAGATAAAGTCTAAAGAAGAAATCAAATAAACACGCAGTCTGTCTTGAATAGTGCTCTAGATAAAAAGATTAAGTTGCTGTAGGTCAGCAGATAGTTGCAAATTGTATATTCAGCTACAAGACTAACACATTACTCAGGTGAATCCATATAAATCGGTGTTACAGTTAACTTACCAAATATGTTTAAGAAATCAGATTGAAGTGAGTTGATATAAAATGTAACTGCTATGGTACTAAAACACTTGGGTATGGATCTTGGCTGTCTGTTTCACTTCGTGATTGGTCAAGTTCTAAAGCTCTCTGCCAGTTTCCCAAGGTGCAAACAAGGAAAATAATGCCTACTTTTCCCTGGATTAGTGGGACTAGTGCTGGCATATACTAAGTGTTCAATAAGTGTTGCATATTAATAGCATTTGTTCAGATATTTAATTGTGATCTTATTCGGTTTCTAAGTTGGAACCAAATTATGAATGTCTAATTTTTTCTAGAAAACTGGGTTGCAGGAATTCTGAGAAACTCTGTAGCCCTGTAAATCTGAGTTTGATGGATACACAGCTGTTCTCAGTGTCAGTGCATCCCAGGCTGCACTTAGCATTAGAACGTAGGTACCATTTTAATTCCATCTCAGTATGTGAGGGCAGTATGTACTATACGTATATCCTAATAATTCTTTACATTTCAGGTTTGAAGTTTTTGATTTAGTTCCCTCTCATTGTGGAATGAGGAATGAAATTAATGAAGTATGATTTTACAAACATGGACTGGAAGAAGCCAAAGTTGACAATCTTCCAGTGCAGTCCAGGTTAAGTAGCAATGCTGCTAGCCTCTAGGCAGCATTGCAGAGTGTTCATAATTTATCTTGTTTCTCTTTTAAGTCCCTAAGCTTTGGTATCAGAGCAAGGTCCACGTTTTTTTTTATTTTTTTTAATAATTTTTTATTGTTATGAGTCTCATAATTTTTTATTGTTATGAGTCTCCTACCAGCCCCATTAAAAAAAGTTTGAGTTTTTATTTCATGTTACTGCAAGGAGTACAAAGGTAAATGACACATTTCCTATTCCAGCTTAAGAGATAAAAATGGCATTAAAATATAAAAGGCAGAAGAGGAAATTTCAGCCTGGGGAATGGTGGATGATTGATAGGTCAGTGTGGCTGAAGACTGAGGGGTTATTAGTGGGGGAGGATTAAGTTGCCTAGCACTAGAATTTGGACCTGTCACTGGTCCATATCCCTTCCACTCTAGCCTTTATCCCGTAACTCAAATGGGCTACTGCCATAGTAGTCCAGCTGTAAAGCAGGAGTGAGGGAAAAGTAATGGGAACTGACACCAAGACAGGAGAGCCGACTGGGTGTTGGTTTGGCTTTGAACATCACTGTTCACCTGTCTCCACAGAAGTAACAGCCTCTAAGAGCTTAAAACTTTGCTATGCATCAATCTTCTAAATCCCTGATTGTTTTTTTTTTACTGTAGAAAATGCTTTTCTGCCATGTACTTTTTTGCATGCCTTCTCTCTCTGCATAATTATGGGAGGGAAGGAATTGATACTTTTATTCTCCCTGGGCCTTGCTCTGGTACTAAATTTGAACTGCCCCCCCCCCCCCAAGGAGGAGGAAAATAATGAAATTGAATGCTTAGCTGTATTTAGACAGGAGTAATCAATTATTCAGGATATCCCTTGGCTTTATTTTAACTTAAACCCTTGTGAATACCTCACAAAAATACATACACAGAAGCAAATAAAACTATACAAACTAAATATGCAGCAGATAGAACAAGTAGTCAGAAGTTCAAAGATGGGTAGCTGTGTAAAAAAATCAATTTGGAAATGAGTACTTTCAACAAAAGCATTCCAGATATTTTTAGACACATAAAGTAAATCGATAATCTATAGAATGGATGAATGGGTAACATGCATTGATCAGTACGACCAATAATATTTATTGAATTCAAACTATTTACTGTTGTAAACATTTAACGAAAGCATCATGAGATCTAAATACAGTCTTTGACAATTCCAACAAAATAAGTGGTATGTTTAAAAAATAAAGCTGATGAGCAGTAGATCCATTCTATATATTTTCTTTCAACAGTTCCAGCAAGAGAAATAGCACAGTATTTTTAAAAAGTATACAGCAAAGATTGTTCCTATTATAGTGGCAGACTCTGGAAACTGTAAATACAAATAGTCACCGAACAGTCAAACGGTCGTATTCCTAATCAGGAGGAAGTTAAAGTCAGCAATCCAGTTATACTTAATTGTCAACAGAATCCTTTTTCTTGTCAGTTGATTTCATAGTTCTTTTTCCAAGACAGCAAAACTTTGGCAATTGGATGTATTGAAAATATACTTTCCAAGTTCAAGGTTTATAGTCATAGCATTTTGTTGTGTGAAAGGTGATCTGTACACCAAGGCTCAGTCAGAAGTTGGTAAAGATTGATTCCATATGTGGAAAAAGTGCAAATTTCCTGCACAGATAGCTTACAAAGCTGCTGGCACATTTATTCACCAGCAGAATCTTGGATTTTTGTTTGCATAGCTCACACATCACTGGAATGTGGAAAGGTGTGCTATTTTTTGGCAAGAGCAAAGGAGACATTATACTGATATGAATTACCGTGTTGGGCATGCTGAATCCAAGCAGGATCCTTGGGCGAAGGCTGCTACCTGACATCGTTAGTTTTTGTATACTGGTTTTGTTTTTGTTGAAGCAGTTCTGTTATAGCCAGAAGCTTTTTCAGTACATGCTAAACAAGGAAAAACAGTATGAAAATAATAAATGAAGGAAAATTCAGTCAGAAGTTTCAGGAAACCTAGATTTTGTAAAAAGCCACATCAGTTCAAAGGAATTCATAAAATAATACTAACCATTCTACTCAAAGAATAAAATTATGAACGTTTCTATTCAGTCCTTGACTCAATATTTTTGGTCAGGATACAATTTTTGTACACTAAAATAAGATCATGGAAGAAATAGGACTACACTGGGCCTAAAATTAATTAGGCCAAATTCTCCAATAAGAATTTTATTTTTTAATTTAAGGCAAATCATAACAAACTCAGCCCCAGTGTAGCTAGAAGGCATTATATATACCGTGGACACGTAAGTAGGCCAGTGGCACATATTCTGCCTAAGCTGCTAAACTGATTGGAAGCTTAATGAGCCAGAAGGTTATCTAAACTTGAGGGTTTTAGAATCTCTGGTTGAAGAAAACTCAGAATCCATAACACAATGCTTTAATTTTAATGTCTTCTACAAGGCCCTTGCCAAATGGTTGGCCAGTACAGTGACAGTATTCAGGAGGAGCTTATTAGAAATGACAGTTTTCAAGGCCACACTCCAGAATCTCTGAATCTGGAGTTGGCCATGCGCTGCGTACGTGAGATAAGCCACATCCCTACTGACTTCATAATTCAGTTGCCATTTTCACACATCACTGAAGTGTGTAACACCACCGTTTTTTTCAGTATGCATTTTCACACATCACTGAAGTGTGTACCACCACCGTTTTTTTCAATATGCAGTATGCAAAATATGTCAGTATACATAATTTTAGCCTGGGTCCGTTATTTCTCTGCCGAGATCTTTGGGGAGGAGGATTCTGATTCTTAAAAATACAACTGATAAAGTATCAATGTTGACCATAATTTAGCTACTTACCTCTCAGTCTTATGCTGACATTCTGCTTAAGTACTAATCAAACATCACTGTTAATGAAGGCTGGCAAAAACCTACCTGCTGCGCACCACGTTCGTTGCTGAGCGTTCGCAATTCATCTGAATGGGCCACACAAATCTCATGCAGTGCTGCTAAATCACGGGACAGGTCAGTTCTAGAATGCTCTGTAGTGTCCGGAAGTTCAGGTACATTCTTTAAGAGAATAAAACTGCACTTAGAAATACAAATCTTTATAGTCACTTCTGAAAATATCCTAATTGCTTATAGCAAACAGAATTCTTAACATAATGTTCTCTTAAATTTCTCTTAAGAATCTAAGATGCTGGGCGCCTGGGTGGCTCAGTTGGTTAAGCGACTGCCTTTGGCTCAGGTCATGATCCTGGAGTCCCGGGATCGAGTCCCACATTGGGCTCCCTGCTCAGCGGGGAGTCTGCTTCTCCCTCTGACTCTCCCCCCTCTCATGCTCTCTCTCTCTCTCTTTCAAATAAATAAATAAATAAAATCTTTAAAAAAAAAAAGAATCTAAGATGCTATGTATCATTCAGTGCTATTTATTTCTGGTAAAACAAAGGTTCTATGACCTCAGTATTCACATCAAATCCAGGTTCCAATTTTCTTACAAAGCATGGCAGAATACTACACAGTATTACTGTTACTCTAAATAAGTGGGCTTCCTAAATTCTTAAAGAGTTTTGGGTTTTTTTGATCTGGCACATAGACCAAAAAAACAAAACAGTGTAACTGCTAATCTGGATTAAATGCAAGCTAAACTTAAAATTCTTCCACTCTCTCAGACTCAGTTTCATTATTTAGCTGCTATAGTTTGTCCAAATTTATCAGTATACATAAAAGTTACACTATGGAAGTGTGAGGAGAACCTGTCAGGCTTATAATTATCTGTGGACTCTGTCCAAAACACTTGGTGGAATGATCAGTTTTACTTATGGTTTCTTCAGGTAAGGTTCATTAAATAAACTTCGTACTTTATTAGCAGTAAATACTAATATTAGTTTGAGCCTCAGAATAAAATTCAGCATGGACGCAGATTGCTGGTAGTCTTGAATAAATCTACTCTTCTCCCTAATGGTGAGAATTAGTTTGCTGTACATTCCTAAAAACTGCAAAACACTCAGTTTTCTATGGCATGAAACAACTGAAATATAGTTCATTCTTGTTAATTTAACTCAGTTATCCATTCATTCAGTGAATGAAGGATTACAGAGGTAAAAGACTACAGTATTTGCCTTCAGAGAACTTGTAGTGTCTCTAGAAGACAGCGATAAACTGATCAGAGCAACACCGATATCAAAGATACGCAGAGGATACTCAGGAAGTGGAAGAAAAGGTATTTGAGTCAGGTTTGGTGCTCATCAAAGCCCTTCTGAAGGAGGTATTTGAAGTGAGTCTTGAAAGAAGGATTCGACTTAGGTGGTAAAGGAATGCAGGGACGTGAGGAGGCAGGAAGAGTAGTAGAATATGGGGAATTCTAAGCAGTTTAAAAGACTACACTGTGAGGCATAACTAGGAAAGTGGTAAGAAAGCTGGACTGTAGGTAGCCGTGACTATGGAAAATAAATGGAGTCCTAACCATGAATCTGAAGAATCTAAAAACCTAGAAATAATAGCTTAAGTTAAAGCTCGGTGGCTTTAAATATTGGATGATTTTCACAGTTCTTTAAACAATACTATAGAAAAATTTTCAATCGCTGACCCAACTGTGGTTTTTTGGTAATAAGAAATATTTTTATCTTCTAAACGTCCCTGAGTTCGTATATAAGAAACATGGACATTTCGCATTTGCCCCTGTATTTCTCACTTTTATTCTAAGTATGGATCTGTGTTGTAAATAACTTCTTTCACAATGGTTTTTACCCCTGAGGTAGCAAAGTAGGAGCCCTCAGGAAGTGC